TTTTTGGCTCCGGACAAAAATAAAAGCCTTTAGTGTAAGTAACAGCTTATGAACCTTAGCAAACACAAAAATGACTATAACTGTGTTGTTTTTACTGACGCTGAGCTAAAATTATGTGTGGTAGTAGATGAGAGTCATCCCCAACACAAGAGTTTTTGTTTAAAACATGGTCATGCAAGACAGCAGGTGCATTCCTTTAAACATTACTGTGCAAGTCAGCCCATATGTTTGTCGAAACAGCCGAGTTCAGACGTTCTGTTTTATTAATCAGCTTCAGTTTCATACAGCTGTTCCACAGACGAGTGGAAAAATTCATTTGGACTGGTCCTTGGCCCAGTGACTGGGGACCCCTGGTCTAGTTGGTATTGGCTCACAAGTTTTTATGTTTTCACAGGGCAGTGATTCTCCACCACGCAGAAGGGTCATGAATGTTTTGTGACACATCCAGTAACAGACACTGTAATTACATGTGTCCTCATCTCGTGGCTAAATTGTCTGAAATGTCTGTTTTCATCTTGTGTGTTGGATGCTAGTTGTATTAGCATCCAGTGGTTTGCTCCACACCATGTGCTGAGGTCTGTCGTGTCCACTGCTGCATTTAATCAATGCTCTGAAAGGTTTTGTTCCACTTTACGTTCTTCCTGTAAAAGGTGATCTTCTTGTGTTACATTGGTACCGAGTTTATTCGAATGTTGACACAGAAATATCGTAAATAATCTGCTTGATCATCCACTTTTAAATCCAGAGTGACTCCATTAACTTGCACATTTTATTTAATCCAGCTCTATGTGTAACTAACTTAGAGTTCAAGTCTGATTTCTAACTTTACACATGTGTAGGAAGTCATTTTGAAGAAAAAGGTTTTCAGAAATATGTGTGTTGTTTTGTTAAATTATTTTTTTTTTAAATCAACTTGACTATGTAGACTTCATGTGAAAGCAAACTAACAAGTTGATGTTCCTTGCTGCTGAGGGATTTGAATAGTGAATGTTTTTAGTTTTCAAGATGAATGTTTTTCTGGACTGGAATTGAACAGGGAGTGAAAGTAAACCTTAATGTTTTTGGTGCAAAATATTCAAGTGGGTAGGAGTTACACTGTGGAACAACAGAGGGTTGTTTTTTGTCCGAGGCAGCACAGAGTGATGGATCCTGGTGAGTGGAGGGAACAGTTTAATCCACCACCAGGAGCAATAGAGGAGTCAGGGGGTGGCCAATGGTGGCCATGGCTACCATAGTTTAATCATCAGTCACCCCACCGGCCACCTCAATCATTTGAGGAAACTATACTTTTAGGCAATATAAAAACTAAAAAGGGGTTGGGGTTCAGATACGGAGTCATGTTTCTGCCTCATGATGAATCTTTTGATTAAGTAAATTATAAAATGCCCCTCGTAGTTAGAAGTTAGCTGTTTTAAACTCAGAATCTGAGAGACTGATATCACAATAAGCTCAGCTGTTACTGTTCATCCTGACTTGATGTGAGTCCAGTTAATGTGTTGTAGATTAATGTCTGGTGCACGCTGACTTTCTGCGTTTCATTAGAAGCCATACTGTTGGTTGGATGTTTAGCTAACAGATGAACAGGGTTGAATTTAACAGTTAATGTCAAGGTTTTAAGGAAAAATATCACAAAATATATAAGAATTGGACTATGTGTTGATATAAATCTCAGCTACTACCATGCCAAACTTTAGCTCATATTTTGTAAAACTAAGCTGTAGACATTGTTGTTTTGGCTAACGTCAATTAACTGAGGCAGTCATCTTAAATTGGGTTGACTTCAAAACTTAATCAGCTGTAAATGTAGATATTTATGAAGGCAGGTGATCATAACTGAAACCAGTCACGTAGGCTAATAAGAGTTAATGTTTTAACAGGGTTAATAACATCACAAATTGTTTGACCTTTGCAGCATCTGCAAATTCGCTTCAGCTTAAATGAGAAGCAGCGATAAAGAAAAACAGGCTTTTCCCTCCGAGTTAAGGTCATAAGGAGGAAGGAGACCTGCTGCATCTACTCAACTGGACTGGGAGCTCCTTTACAGAAAATACGACGAGCACTAATGTAACATGGGGATTAAAATACATGGCAGGTGGAAAAAATCTACATCTTGAAAACAGTTTTTCTTCCTTATAAATTAAGCTGAAACAGGATTACGAGAGTGGCACTGGGTTAGAAAATGTGTTTCTCTAGAATATAATTAATAAATATATAATAAATGTAATTTATCTTGACTCTTTTAGTTACAAATGAGGTGAATCAGGTTGATTCCAAAGGTTCATCAGTTATAGATGTATATCTAATGATGCCTTTGTGGGAGTTTCATTAAAACTTGTTACCTTGAGATATTTTACTAACACAAACTAGCATGCGCACTCACAAACAGGGGCTAAAAATCCTACTGGGCTGGAATAATGTAAAAGCTAGATGTTAGAAAATAAAACAAAATACTTCTTCAAAGAACAGTATTTATCTTTAAGGAAATAACTTCATTCAACGTGCGCGCGCGCGTGTGTGTGTGTGTGTGTGTATGGTTGGTGCAATATCAAGCAGGGGGACTTCAAGGAAGAAGGGAGACCTTTAAAAGTCAGTTGCCTCGGTGGCTGTTTGTCTGACGCAGACTTTTATCTCGTACTCATTGAATGTGTAAACAGCATTCTCTGCTCCTGCCACGAGTGTTTCTCTGATCTGCTCAGAGATTGGGCCGCGGTCTGCTGCCATCTCCTGCAACACAGAGCAATATGCTGATGGATGTGCCTTGGAACTGAAATAACGACCGAATAAACACATAATCTACACTTCCTTCACCCTGACTTACTGCCTCTGATCCCGTTTGCCTCATCAGGCTCCACACAAAGCCAGACATGAGCTGGGATTTTAATTGGCCCTCCACAATCAACAGCAGAGCTCCTTCAGGATGCATTTGCTCCTCAGCCTGCCGACACTCCAGGACCTTCTGAAGAGGCCTCACGCAGAGGTCTGGAAACCACTCCGACAACTGAGACTTTGAAGAGAACTAAAAGCGGTGCAGGCTATAGTTGTATGTTGTTCAGTATCTGTCACCATATCCACTGCATCCGTGGCCAAAAACAATAAAGATGTTTTGGTTTGCGCTCGCTGGAAACGTGGATCCAGTCACACCAGTACATTTGACAGAAAACTGATCTTCAGTCGCTGATTTTTAACAGAAAAAAATGTAAATATTGACAACAAACACACAAACAGGGGCTGAGAGACTTTTCTTCTTGGAAAGGGTGGACAAGGCTTTTTCAGAGAGGAACATAAATATAAATGAATCTGTTCTGTTGCTAGAACCTAAGGGATGTACCTTCTTGACAGCTATCATTCATTCAACCTTTATCTATAAAAGTTAGTCTCAGTTAGTTAGTTAGTAAAAACGAAACAAAAACAGCTACATTATAAAGCGTAACCATAACCAAAACCATCATAACCCGTATGGCAGGACATTCAACTAAACTGCTCATGGTTGCAAACAGCTGGAGTACAAAGCTCGTTCAAATGTACAGTCTGCACAAACTTTACTGGAAATTATATTTTTCTGGAGTTTTTCCACAAGAAGAAAATGTTCATTTTGTGGGCTGCTGCTAAAAATAAACGTCTCAAAGTAGATATTCTGTTTGTGGAAAACAATTACTGCAAAAAAAATATTTTTCCGGCAATATATATGTTTGCTGGCAGATTTTTCATATGAAGAATAACCTTGGGTAATCATTTTAGATTGTTTTATTTTTTCAACAAAATTAACAACATTGGAATCCAGTAAAGTCATTAGAAGTGTGTGTGTGTGTTTTAATATACAGTAGAGGTTATGAGCGGCTGTGCCAAGTTAAAATGAGTCTTTTTCCCAATAACTCAGTAAATCTGGTGAGACTCAGATGTCCCAGCTTTTCACCAGCCCTTGAACGCAGCATTATCTTTGTGAATCTGGAGCAGTAAGAACGTCTGAAAAGGCACAGGCAGCTGATCCGTGCGCTCGTGTTGACTGATCTGTCCACAGCAGGTGATTAGTGCACGTGTATTTGACTATATTCATGCATGGAATATTTCTACTCGTGCGTTTTGAAATGTGCACATTTGAAAAACTGTTTATGTGTTTGTGCATCGTGTTGTACGCTTGTCTGAATGCAGCTGAGACCAATTTATCTTCATAGTCTGTTAGCAAAATATCCCAAAAAGGAATAAAAAAAACAGACAACTGAACGTACATCTATCCATCCATCCATCACCTTTACCCGCTCCTTCCTTTTTGGGTCACGGGGGTCACTGGTGCCCATACCCAGCCATCACTGTGTGAGAGGCGGGGGACACCATGGACAGGTCTCCAGTCCATTACAGGGACACATAAAGACAAACAACCATTCACTCTCTCACTCACACCTAGGGACAATTTAGAGTTACCAATCAGCCTAACATGCATGTTTTTGGTCTGTGGGAGGAAACTGGAGCCCCCGGAGAAAACCCACGCATGCACGGAGAGAACATGCAAACTCCACCCAGAAAGGCCCCCGGCCAGGATTCGAACCAGCAGCCTTCTCACTGAGAGGTGGCAGCTCTACCAGTTGCACCACATTGTTGCCAAAACTGAATGTACATCTAGAAAATATTAAGTTTTGGAGTCACCCCAAATCAAGATGGCTGCCACAGCTAGTCAAGCTTAGCAAAACACAATTTGCTATGATTATATCAAACCAAGGGAGAATGAGCTAAACTTTGCTGATGTGGTAACTGAGAACAATCCTCAACATCTACTCCAAACACTAACAGTCACACATTGCATCGGATCAGGTCCTTTACAACGTTTGTCCAGAACAGCGACACCTCCACCGCTTTTCACGAGGAGATCATGGTGTAAAACTCTGGCGTGAAAGGCAGCAGGCGATGTTCAATCCTTCAAGCAATGCTAGGCTTTTAATTGCAGAGGGTGTGGTGATGGTGGTGTTTGTGAGGGTGCACAGCTCTGGTCTTAGTGGGAGACTCACCTGGGGCCTCGATAAGCTGTTTGTAGATTCCCAGGAATGCAGACTCTGCCTCCTTACTGCGCTTGTTCAGAGCAACCACCTGCAGGGAAGAAGACACCAGTAATGCAAACATGGACTTGCATAGCCCTGGTGTGGACTACAGCGTTGGTAACATGAAACATCAAGTCAGGGAGTTGATCTGCAGAGCGTGACATCTGAGGCCAGAGTTCTTTCATCCCTTCAACCAAGTTCTGACTCTTTGATACTAACTTTTGGTTAAATAAACTCACAACTCAAGTATTACAGTCATTGAACTGATTGTTTTTACAATGATAAAAAAAAACATTCAAAAGCTTATAATAAGATATGAACAGTAACAAAAGCAAAGGACAACAGCAAGTAAAAAATACTATGTCTGCTAAATGTACAAACACTGAAGTTCACAGTTTATGCATGTATACGGCACTCCCAAGAACGTGGGCGATGACACCTACAGAAAGGCTTACAGAACAGCAGTAACTTCCCTGTTTAGGAGCCAAGCTGTTGCATGTTGCCAGGTGACATTTGGCCTGTTAAATGTAGGCGCCGGCGTGAGCGAGGACACTCGCTGGTGGCCTCCATCACCAGCGGCACTCAGCGCCTGCTGTCCTCAGCTCGACGGGTGACGCAAACCAATTAATGGTTCATTAGGAGGGACAAAGAAAGCGAATTAGCCACCACCTGGCCCCATGGAGAGGGCACCTGCCCTGGTGGGTGTGTGGACTGCTCCTGCTAAGACCTAAGGCCTGTCTGAGCGTCAGACGGTGAGACGGCGTCTCGATGCTCTCTGCTGTACGACAGTAAAACCAGATCAGTCTTCTGAACGCCCCGCGCCACTCCAAGGTCAAACCAAGAACACAACAGACAAATGAATGCAGAGTGCTGAAATATTTTGCTGACATTTAATAAAAGTACTTTGTCAACTGAATGTGTACAGTTAAAACAAGCAAAACAGAAGCTTAAATAAGCAAATCTGAAGCTAAGAGCTAAAATTAGCACGCATTAGCTATAGCTTAAGCTATAAGCTAAACAAAAGATAAAACTTAAATTTGGTAAAAATGTACTAAGCTAAAAGCAAAGATTTGCAAAAATGTGGATAAATGCTAACATTAGCAAAACCATAGCTAATAGCTATATTCAGCACAAATAAAGCTATAAAGCTAAAATTAGCACATCATAGCAAAAAGGTATAATTAACAGAATTGTAGCTAAAGGTAAAACAAGAAGATTAACTAAAATCTAAAATAAGAACAATAGTAACTAAAAGCTACAAATAGCAAAGTAGATGTTTAAAGATATGGCTTGCAAAACCATACATTTAATCAGCAAATAAAAAGTTAAATCAAATAAAATCATATTAAAAAATGTAAAATTGTAGCTAAAAGCTTACATCAACACATTTAAAAGTTAATATTTGCAAAATAGTAGCTAAAACAAACATGGGAAAAACTGTAGCTAAATGTTCAAAAAGTGAAGGTGCTGGTACAAATTAAAATGTGCCATATCGAGCTAACGCCAAAACTTATCAGAACAGTGGTTGAAAGTTAAATGTAGCAAAACCACAGCTAAAATGAACAACACTGTAGTTAAAAACTAAATTAGCAAGGTAGTAGCTAAAAGCTAAAATGAGAATAAAAAGACAAAAAAAAAGTAAGAAAGCTGGAGGAGAGTTCGAAGAACAATGTTTTTAAAAAAATATTGAAGAGATCTCTGTGTATTTATTAAGGAAATGTTTGAGTAAAAACAAGTACAAAATTAATAAGTTTGAAAGTTACAAATGCTAACAATGCTAACACACTAGCTGAACATTTTGATAAATGAACGGTTAAAGCACAAACTATGCACATGTAGTTTGACTTTAAAAAATGAACAGAAGGAACTATAAACAGGAACACAATAGTGTGAATGTAACCAGCATTCATTCACACACGAACGTCAACTTTTGAGTAGTTTCTGTTCCTAATAATGTTATATCGGCTCAACAGATCCAACAGTGTGAGTAAGTGTGAGACTGACTGCTCCTCAGCACCACAGCTGCACTTGAAAAACATTCATTTCGCAAAAGGGTTGAAAACACTTAAGAGAACGGTGGCAGTGTGTTGGGGCTGTTTAGTGGGGTTATAAATAAGGTGTGTGGAAAATAGCGAGAGACGGAGAGCCTTTGATATACTGGAAATGGTTGGTACGTTCCCCAGGGAGGCATAACGACAGCATTATGTTTAAAGAAATATCATAAAGATCAAGCAAATCTCCCCCATCACTCCCACTCCAAGCAACTCTGAGGAGTTCATGGAAAATGGAAAGGGCTGAAGCCCAATCAATACAGATGCAATAGTCAGCAGCTCTCAACCATCTCCCTGATACACAGTGATGTTTCTTTCAGCTCTGCCCCAGTCTAACCTCCCACACCCCCTCACTCTTTATATGCCCCCTACCACTTACCTCTCCTTCCAGGATGTCAATGTTGCCACACTGGTTTACAGAGAGTAAACGTGTTAAACGCATTGCCGTCCTCCTACATCGTACAACAAATACTGCTCATTTTAACCAGTCCAATTTATACTTCTGTCAAATCATACTCAAAGGTTTTAATTGTAAAAAGTTATTACTTTTGTTGCAGCGATGGATGTTTCGTACCAAAACGTTACAAAGCGGACAACATTTTGTACCCATTCACTTACCATATGCACGTTTCCCTGAACAAAGCTAAAACAATAAATTCAATTCAACTCAGTTTATTTCTATAGCACCAAGTCACAACAGAAATCGTCTCAGGACACTGAACAGAAACATCCACATACATAAAACGTAAGTTAATAATGTTATTTATCTAAACAGAATGAAGCTGTGCTTTATTTCATAGTCAACATTATATACCATAATCATAATGTGCTTATTTTTATAACATATAATTATGATAACTAAACGCTTGTTAAAAATAGTAAGTGCATACACACTGTGACAACAATTACCTACACTGTGCACACACAGTGGCTCAGAGCTGCTGTCTAGGGCACCCGGGGGGAGCAGATGGTGGGGTTAAGGGCCTTGCTCATGGGCCCAGAGTGGGGCAAATGAGGGTGGAGGCAT